AAGCCAGTGGTGTCATTTGAAGGCTGCAGAGCCACAGGGACTGATGATAACTTTCAGTCTGAGTCTGAAGGCTGGAGAACCAGGAGTGTTAATAACAGGAGAAGGCAACATGCTAGCTGAATGGATTCTCAGTTCCTATGCTTTTTGAGTCCTCAAGAGATTGGATGATATCCACCCGAATTGGGGAGGGCCATCTACCTTACTTGATCCATGAATTCAAGTGTTACTCTCTCCTGGAAATACCCTGACATACCAGAAATAATATTTCATGAGATATTCAGGCATTCCATGGCCTAGTCAAGTTGATAAAATTAACCATTATAGTAAGATGTGGGTATGAACTTAAATATTAAATACATTATGCAAATTGACTATATTTTCCAATAAAAAGACAGACTGTCTTGGTGAAGAGAATAGTTCTATGAACATTATATTAAATGTAAATGGGATAAATTTTCAAACTGAAGGACAAAAACTATCTTTGTGAGGAGAATTATGTGAAGACATCTATATATCTATATGTCTCTCACAATATATGTTTGGAGGTGTTAAAGAGAACTTCTGTCCACCTCCAAACATATACCTATAGCTTTCTAATATTTCAGAGGAGAAAAGGATACCTCAAACAAAAAAAGGTGGGGAAAAAACAAGGGAAAGGAAAAAAACAGGGAGACTACAGGCTATGATGACTTAAATACAATCTAGATATGAGACCTTTATTAGCTAAAAAGCATTACTGGTTTTCTGATGCTAATGTAGAGTTACCTTCTGTCATGGTTTGGATATGTGATGTCTCCCAAAAGCTCATGTCTGAGACAATGCAAGAATGTTCAGAGGTAAAAATGATTCGGTTATGAGAGTTATGAATTGATGAGTGAATTAATTAATCCACTAATATTGACTAACTGGGCAGTATCTATAGGTAGGTAGGATGAAGCTGGAGAAAGTAGATCACTGGGGGGGTGTGCCTTTGGGATTTATATTTGTCCCTGGTAAGTTGAACTCTCTTTGGTTCCTCGTGGCCACGTCCTTAGCCACTTTCCTCTACCACATTCTTCCTCCATGATGTTCTGCCTCATCATGATGTTATGCCCAGAACTATAGAGTTAACCATTTATGGATTGAGAATTAGACCTCTGAAACCATGAACCAAACAAACATCTCCTTCTTGAAAATTGTTCTTATCAGGTCTTTTGGTCATAGCAGTGACCAAAAAGCTGATTACAAGACCTCTTTCAACTACCATTCCCTGACCATTGCCCTCCCATATTCCAAATCTCCATTCCCTTTCTAATAGTATCTGTTCGTGTGCACTCATTTGGATAGGAGCTTCCTTCCATTTTCTAACTAATGAAAAATAAGGAAGTTTAAGCTAATAACTAATACTATGGGGTGATAGTTAAGTAGAGATTCTGGAGCCATACTACCTGGATTTGAATTCTGTCTCTGATATCTCCCTTCCATGTGACCTTTGGCAAATCATTTAAGCCCTTAGTTTGTTTATCTGTAAAAAGAGAATAATAATATGGGATGTTGTGATGATAAATATGTAAAGTATTTAGAAAAGTGACTGACAAATATGTGCTATGTAAGCACTATTAGGATTGTTACTATTATTATCAATATGGAGGTTATGATATAACATTTATTCTTTGTTTGATCTTGTGAACCTAGTTACAGTCCCTGCACCTGGACAGTTTAGGGTCCCAAACTGATGGAACCATTCAAGGAAGACTCTTTGGGACAGGATTGGAGAGTTGTCCCTTTTCATCACTTCTGTGTTGTTTTGGCATCCCCAGCACTGGAATTTTGGGGACTCTCTGAGGCAACACTTTATCATGAACTCATTGTTATTGTGATAGGTAATGGCAGCAATAAGGTAGTGAGGAGAGTGGAAACATCTGTGACTCTTACTAACCAATTTTTGTAGGTACTTAGGAAAAACTTTTAGAAATTTGTAATGTACTACTTTGAGGACTATCAGAAATAAATGGGGGAAATTTTGAAGGGAGAATAAAGTTCTTTATTATGATGATGAAGTTTTCGTGCTGGCAGTTGATTTTAATTCCTCACCTTTAAGATTGATTTTAGGGAGAACAATCTTACCTTTTGACCCACATCCGTTTGGACCATCACTGACAAATGGTCTAGAACCTAGACTTACAATTTCAATACTGCATTATTATATGCTTCTATGATTAGAAATAAATGATTAGTAATAAAATGAATTACATATATAGCTATAGATTCAATTGTGATTAAAAAAAAGAAGAGTTTGGGAGTGTTTAAGAACTACTGCACAGCCAGGCATAGTGGCACATGCCTATAATCCCTGTGGCTTGGAAAGCTGAGGCAGGAAAATTGCAAGTTCAAAGCCAGCCTCAGCAAAACTTAGAAAGGCCCTAAAGCAACTTAGTGAGACCCTATCTCTAAACAAAATTTAAAAAATACAAAAAAGGATTAGGGATGTGGTTAAGTGTTTAAGAACCCCTGGGTTCAAAACCTGGTACCAAAACAAAACAACAACAACAACAAACAAACCCTCCAAATAAAATAAAAACTACTGCAAGCTTATCATCAATATTGTTAAAACAAATCAAGGTTGAAGACTACATAAATATTGGGCCAATATGATGTTTTAGTGTGGAAAATGTACTTTCTCCCCCTTTTAGAAATAAATTATTAGAAAAAAAGAAAGTCATAAAATAGATTATTGAACCATATATTTCAATTTATTATTTTTATCATTTTACCAGGCAAATCTTATGTAGTTTATTGCACTAACCCTATAAGAATCATGTGGAAATGGGAAAGAATGTTAATGGAAACATTTTCAAAAGAAAAGGGGAAATAAGATTTTCCCAAAAGGATGCAAATGCTCTTACCAGAAGACAGGGTAACATGCCAGGTAGCCAAAAACATAGTTAATGCCTACATGATTAGATAAAGAAAGGCAAAATATAAATTATATAAAATATTGCATTCCAGTAAAATCTATGTGGACCACATAGTAACATGAGTAATGGTCATGAAACATTGTTAAATAAAAAGGAGTACAGAGAGAAAATATACTTAAAACTTTGGAATATGAGAAAACAACTTTTTACTTTGTGGTAATGAAATAATGGATATTAAAATTTTAAATTCATTAATGTATTTATGAAAAATACATTAAAAACAAAAAATTTTAAAGAAAAGATGCTTCCTTCTGCTTTTAAGTAGGAAGTGTTTTTTTTTTTTTTTCACATGAGAATTTGCTCTCCAAGTAATTGTTTGGTTAACTGGAAACTGTTGATGAGATCTCTGAATCTTTTCTTGGACTATTTACTACTGCTGTTCCAGATTGAAGAGCTTGGTGACCATTTGCAATGCTGCGGCTGTTGCTGCACAAACACTAACTGTGTGACATGACCGTTATCACATACTACCCCCATTACTGCTCTCAAAATTGAAGTAGCTAAGGTGGTATAAAGGGAGGTCTCACCTTTGCCAGAAGCCACTGATCTTTCCAAGACATTGTTTGCCACAGTCTTCAACCTGGGTGGATCCTCAGAGTGAAGGGAAGACCACTCCTCTCCCCAGTATTATCCTCAGTCCAGTGCAGACTAATATACAAACATGTGATGACTACAGCAAAAATACTTCTGCATGGATCCCAGAATTTTAGTTCCAGTTAATCCACTGTGTTTCCGATTTCCCTCCCCACCCCTCCCTCCCTCTCCCTCTCTTTCTCTCTCTCTCTCTCTCTCTCTCTCTCTCTCTCACTCACACACACACACACACACACACACACACACACACACACACTATTCCATGTGACACACGGAAATAATTGAATATTGAAGCAGTTGTGAACATAAGGCAGACCAGAAGAAGTAGTTGTGATTATAATAATCTTTGTGGATGTGAAAGATTTGGAAGAGGGGCTGTCCTTGCTGAGTTTTTGACACTAAGCATGTTAATTTATAATAGTATGTATGTATGTATGTATGTATGTATGTATGTATGTATGTGTGAGGGATGGTTTTATTATGTTTTGAATTATGGAGGACCTAACAAATAGGAAAGAGGCAGATTTGGTTTGTGTAAACATAGCCCTAATTACAGTAGTACATGGAAGCTGACCATCCTTATGCTCAATAATTTCACAGCTTAATATTCTCAAGTACTTTGAAGTTTGTTTCATTTTATTATACCAGTAAACTGCATACACATTCCATCTGCCTAACTTTGCTATGTACATATCATGCCAGGTCATATGGCCCTCTGTTCACATATTGTAGTTCACCTAAATGCTACTGTTTCTTTTTAAATACCAGGTGGTATGACCAGCTATCCCAGTTTGTCTGAGACTAAGGGAGTTCTCAGGATTTTCAATGCCAGGACAGTCCTGAACAAACTGGGAAGAGTCAATCACTCTAATCTCAGGTCTGCATGAAGCCTTTGTCAATTTATTCCCAGTCATGCTAAACTGACCTTCAGAAATTTGTTTTTGCATTTAAATACTGATAGTTTTATGAGCTTAATTTTTTTTTTAGATAGATAGATAGTAGTTTGCAAGTTTCTTGAGGTTAGGGCCCATATCACTTTAAGTTTTTTCTTTTCTAATGCATAGAGTACTAGAACTTAATAAAGTGAATCTAAGAATTTAAAATTTTTACTTAGGTGTTTCAAGCATTATACAATCTTTCTTCTTTAATTTAATTAAGTAAAGCAATGAAGCTTAGTGGTTATAAATGTGAATTTAAATTCTCAACTTGTTGATTATTTGACTTTGGGCAAGTTCATTAACCTTTCTGAACCTCAATTTCTTAAGAGTGTAAAATGAAGATAAAAATACTACCTACTTTCCCATGATATTGTAAGCCTTAAACAAAGTGTTAATTAAGACTATAGTATTTTGTTTAGCACATAGCCCACAATTAGTTATTATGTGGCAGTTGTTAATAAGTGATTGTAAATCAACTCATAGGTATTTTTCCATGGTTTGTTTCTTTCAGGGAGTTTATGTTATCCCAGGCAAAAGCAGTTATTAAAACTACTGACAATTATTTGCAGCCTCAGTTTGGCCCCGACAGACTTTTGCATTCAGCGGCAGTATCAGAAGGGTCAGGATTTCAAGATTGCTGTACACATCAAACAGCATCAGATCACAGCCATGAGGAAATATCAAACCCAGATAGTTACAAATCAAACAGTAAAAACAATTCTTGTTTTATATCAGCATCCAAGAGAAACAGACCTGTCAGTGCTCCGATGGGTCAACTGAGGTAATCAAAGCTGTTCTCTGTTCTTTTTAACCAACTGTTGAAGCTTTTTCTTTTGAGCAGAATTTATAGTTATTCAGCTAACTATTTCAGACATTAAAAGATAACATATCTCTTGGGGCTTGTTTCTGGTTTTGTTTATTTTTTTCCTTTGAAAGCACCAGAGTAGAATGTTGCTAATTACATTGTGGAAAACACGAGGTAAACTTCAACCTGGGTTATCTGAAACTGAAAAGATTATTTGAAGCAAAATCAGAATAGGACCAGGAAATATATCTTTGCTTTCAGGATATTTATTTTAAAGTAGAAATGCCCATTTTAGATATTTAACCAACATTTTGACAACAGAATGGAACTGATATGAACTTATTATAAAACCATTTCATATATATGTTTTCACATCAAGATTGTTCTCCTAAACCAATAACCTCAGAGTAAAGAGACAAAAGAAAAACTAAAGAAACAGATACTCCCATTACTTTTAGGTGTTTGAATATTTGGGTATGTTGTGATTTTAGCTTACCCAAAGTTTTTAAGATGTGGACTTGCTTCTGTGGCATTGCAAATTAACATGATGGGAAAATTCTGGAGTCGAAAATTTGTTTGCCACTTCACCATATACTTTTGACAAGAAAATAAGAAATATAAAACTGGTTTTAACTGAAGACAAAACTTGGAATATCAATTTTTACTGCTCCCAAACAGTTTAAAATGCAGGCAATTCAAATAATATAGCATTAAAGTTTTAGTTATAAAAATCTATTTGAATTTAATAAAAAAATCAAAGAACTGTCTTGCATACAAAAACTTGTGGAAAATTTTAGCCATTTACTATTTTAAGACATTAAGACTATATTACTATTTTTTGCTCTTAGAACATGGCAGATCTAGCTATCTAATTTTTCAGATATACAATGTTAAAATGAATAATATGGTGTTTTATAAGTAAAATGATAAAAAATCATTAATTCTAAGATAACTGTTTTGTATAAGCCAGTTTGGCACACTATCCTATTTTAAATGTTTTGGATATTTAATAGTGACAGTCTCTTTCCATAAAAAGCTTTGTTGGGGAACACTTACATACAAGGAGCAATCTTTAGGGCTTATATTTTTTTAAAAAGTTTATGGTAAGTTTTATTTAAAAGATTTTAGTAATTAACATGCACCGTTTTTTGTGTGTTCTTTTTTTGTTTTCTTTTAGAGTTTTAAAGTTCTCCTCTCTAAAATTTCAGTCCACTCAGAATTGGCAAAGATTGTCTCAAAGGTACAAACTTCAACCAAGAGTGATTAAAGTAACAGCTTACAAAAATGGATCTAGAACAGTCTTTGCCAAAGTTACTGCTCCAACGGTCACCTTGGTAACTAATGTTCCAAACTTTTCAGCACTTTATTTTCTCCCTTGCTCTTTTTATGATATTAAAAAATGAAAGATGACACTTAGTTGTATTATGATTTTGTTTTTATCAATCCAAAACTGTAAATTGCTTACATGTGTGGATCTCACAGTCATTTCAGTCCTTTACTTTTTAAAAAATCAATATAAACAGTAATTAATTAAACAGATTAATTATTAAACAAATCCAATGACATTATATTTTATAGAGTTATTAAAATGACAGATCTTAAGTTGAAGGATTAAAATTAGATCATAATTAGATATTCTTGGTGCTTTAATTTACCTTTTATTTCCATATATTTAACTGCTAGAAAATAACTACAGTATATGGGTTGAGTTACTAAACTTGGCAAGTGACTCACTTGGGCTTCTGTTTTGATTGTTAGAACCTTTTGTTTTATGGAAATGTGTTACTTTCTTTCTCATAAATCACTTTGTCTTACCTCTTGTTTTCTTCTAGTTGCTGGAGGAGTGCACAGACAAGCTGAATCTGAACATGGCCGCACGACGAGTGTTCTTGGCAGACGGCAAGGAAGTCCTCGAATCTGAAGATATACCCCATGAAGCTGATGTTTATGTTTCAACGGGAGAGCCCTTTTTAGATCCATTCAAAAAAATTGAAGGTAAAAAAGGGAGGAAAAAACCCTATCCCCCATACATAGTAAATTGCATAAGGGGTGCAATTAAAAAATGATTTTCATCCCATCTTTTTTGCATGGTTTAACAAAACTAATGTTTACGCATTTACAGCTCAGTAAGAGGATAATGTGCTTAATGAAAGAAAAATCCACTGACAGCCACGTTTATTGCCCTTCATTAGCATTGGTGCTTAATTTAATATAGATCTGAATAGACATTAGGGAGCCTGCAGGAGGTTAAATGGTGAAAATATAATAAATTAAATCAGAGATTATTGAATTTACTGTTTAGTTTCTGTGACACTCAACAGACATAATTCATTAGACTTATCCTTTCAGAAATTAGTTCAAAGTTTCAAGTATCATTTATTCATTTATACACTTGGTTCTTTTTCAGATGGCAATACATAACTATGAAAATATGGCCAGTAATGAAAATATAATTCTTATATACATATGATTCTCCTAATAATTTTTTTCCAAGGTACATGCAGCAGCTTGATTTTTTAAAAAAAAAAACTTAAAATACATTTGCATGTGCGTGTGCACACACAGAGACACACACACCTATATATATAATCTCAGAACAGATTTTCTGGTCAGGTTTTTTAAAAAGTGCATTGTTTTTAATTATTCAGAAATGTGAGGATTTTCTAAAATTAAAACTTTTTTTTCAATCACAAAGGATACATTTTAAGAAAGAAAGAAAAGCACCAGTATCTAAGAATATCCTTCAAAGCATTTTGTACCCAGAGTTTGTTATCAAGTGCTATGTATGATAATCAAATTTAAATAACATAAAGAATATTTTTGTCATAAAAATTCAGTGTTTCTAACTGCTATACTCCCTTATGCTTTTTATACTGTATTAGATGTAATTTTTTCTGCAGATCCTATAAAGCTGGTGAATCAAAGGCAAGTCTAGGCAGTAATTGCATAAGTAGGAGAAAAGTAATTTTGGAGTTTATTACAGATGAGGTGATGAGAATCCCTCTTGTATTAATGTTATTATATAAAATAATGTTAAGATTTCTATCTTTTTGATAATACTTGATCATAAGAAAATAAGTAATTTCTTGAATTCGATAGAAAGTTCAAGATAATTTGGTCTTTGTAAAGAAACTTGTTGCTGTAGAATTCATTAAAAATTCCCCCATGTGATCATGTAGACCTACATTTTTGCTTTAACTTTAAAAAATAGCTGATTTTATTTTGTATTCATTGAATAATTTGCTTATGAATGATGAATCTTAGTGAATAAATGCATTTCTATGATTTTTTTAAAGTCAGAAGTTTATGTAATGGTTACTTCAGTAAGATCCTTGATCATTTTATTATTTGTCTTTCATATGAATAATGGTATTATAGAAGAGAGATGCATAAAAATATTTATAGCTAAGCTAAAAAGAAAATTTCCTGGACATGTATGCCCAAAATAATAATGTCACATACATGACTAAACTTTTTCAATGATTTTTAAATGTATGGACTAATTTTCTCCTACTTTTTGTTTCTCTTTTATCCTTTGAAAAGCCAAGTCCAGGACAAAAACTTCTCTGCTTTGTCTGCATATCTTTGGCTGTGTTTCACTGTGACATGCACTGCTGTTCTTTTAGCACCAAAATGTTGGCACACACTCCTGAAAATTTCACACCATCTCTTGCTGGATCAGCAAGCTTAACCCACCAAAATCTGGTGTTGTGCAATGGTTTTTGACTGATAATCAATCTTTATGCTGCTCGACAGTTGTTGCTGGGACACAGAGTAGAGCAGGTGGCAGATGTGTCTTGTCTTTTGAGAAAAGAAATTGTAGGTGAGCTTGGACACAGACTAGCATATCACATGTCCATTAAAAGGACTTAGGATAAGTATAATGGGGGAAAAGTCCCTCATTTAAGTTAAGCTCACAGATAATAAGCCTAAACACTGATATTTGATTTCATTCAAAACATTAAACATGTAAATAAATGTAAATATATAGCTAAATATTACCTTTCACATATATGTATGTGCGTAGGTGAATATTTAACTTGATGTGGGTGATGTCCACATATTCACATATGCTTTTTTATATCATCTAAATCAGATTTAAGATAACCTTTTGAACATGTATTATAGATTTTTCAGCAATTTGTGAACTTGTTGTCAAAAATATACCATAAAAATAAAGCATGTTTGAATAACTTTGAAGATAGTAGATACATTTAAAAGAAGAGGAGGAATTATCAGAAGTTGGAAATTTTAATATGCTAAAGATAAATCATGGAAAAATAAGACTTGATGTTGCTGCTATAACTTTCTAAATGAGCATGAATATTTTGTATAAAATCAGCCAAAAAACATTGGAGTAGGTAACTGGCCAATATTTCAAGTTACTGATATTTGTTCATGCAGCAATTTATTAGAACCTACTATGTGCCAGGTAATAGGCCAGACCAGAAACAAAGTAGGGGCGATGCTGATTTCTTTTTTTAAAATTATTATTCTTTTACCTCTGATTTCAATTCAATTTGTTAAAAAATTTAAATCAGTAAAAATTTTTGTTGAATACTTACTGTATATCTGTAAGGAACCTAAACTGTGAGGTAAATAAGTTATAAATCCTTAAAACTGAGAACACTATTCAACAATGTAAATCAAAGGGGTCCTTTACAGAAAAAATTTCCTTATTACTGCCACAAGAAGGCCAAATAAGACAATATATATTTTGGCAACTGTATTTCAATATCTCATTGGTTTCCCTGTGATTTAGAAAATCAGTGTAAATATTGAAAATTTCCTGCTATTAGAAAATAATTACAGATTTACTAAGATAGGAAAAAAAAGCCAAACATCTCTGATTTTTTTTAAAACTATTTTACTGTCCCTTTTGGACATCACTGTAGACAACTAGAGGCACTGCATTTAATAGAAAGCCAGAGAGCTATTCATCATATTACTTTTAAACACAAAGCTTTCATTTAGAGGTCAGGATAAGGTCAAGACTGACATGAAGCATTCCATGTTGCAATGCAATATTAGAGTAATTCTTAGATTTTGAAGTTGAATACCTGATCATGAACATGAATTGTATATGGAAAAAATCAGAAAATAGGAAATTTTATATAGAAAATTATAGATGAAAATGTTTTGTGGTTTTATAATTCTGGAATTTAAAGATTCTGATATTTATTAGTCATTCTGGAATTGGGAAGGTGTAGTTAATGAATTGTTATAAAAGACATTTCAAAAATTTTCATTTTCAAAAAAGAGTCTTCAGTTTCATGGTTTGGGATTTATTCACAATTTCCTGAAACTTCTGCTTAATGGTAGTACAATGAAAGTTCTTGGATGAGATCCATACATTTTATAAAAGTTCAGCCCCTTTATAACTGCTAGGAGATATTGGGAATGCAAATATAGCATAAGGAATGGTTTGTGCCCAGTGATTAATTAAATATCTTAAATAAAATAGGGGGGAGGATTTGTTTAGACCCAATTCATTACCTAATGAATTTTACTGCATGGAGTTCTTATTGTCTTTAATTTTTTTTAGTTTTATATTTCCACTATTTCCTGTATATCCTACTCCACTATTTGGCTTTCAGAATTATCATTTACAGTGATACATTTCAGTCCTGAGGTTTTTTAACCAGAAGTGAAACTGAATATTATAAATAAGATTCTACATCTTTTAAATACTGTATTGTGAAGATGTAGTCACAGGAAAAAAAAATCCATGAAAGGAGTTCTTGATAGTACACCTAAGATCTAAATTTAAACCTTAAGATTTTCTGCTAGCTGCCATGTGATCTACAAAATGAAATAATTTGCTGTGACAGCTTGTGATTGACAAGAATATGTGTGAGCATATTTAAAATAGGCCATCTTTTCATGTAGAAGTAAATGCCAGTGAAATGATGGATTCTCATCATTTTAATTATTGATGATTTGGAAATATTTCAATTCCATGACACACAGGACACATTCTAAATAGCAGCATAACACTTTTTCTCATATCTGCTTCAATAATGAAATGTTCTGTCATATTTTGTTTTTCAAAAAATGCATTAGTTTAATGAACCTGGATTCATGTGTTATATTCTGGTTCATTATATGTTTACTAAGATTGTTGTTTTTAATAGTTGTGTTAAAAGCACAAGTGTCAAGAAGCGACCCAATACTCAAATCATACCACATCTTGCTATTTCTCCTTCTGGATCTAACACAGAATGCAATAGAGTTGCCTACACCAATGGCTGCTTCATCCTGCTAAAGCTAATACTTAACTTCATGATGCCTATCTATAGGTCAAACACTAATTTATTTAGGCAGCTAAAGGAGTTAGGGTTAGTTTTTCCAAATTTATTTTTATAACTTGGTTTCAATAGAACATATGCTAGGTGATTTTGTTGTTCATTTTATCTCCCACTTGGCTGTGTATACTCAAAAGTAGGAAACTTGCAACACAGAGAAGGAAAAGATTCTTCTGTCTATTAATATAGATGAAGATAAAGTCATAAGCATGTATTTCATGTGTTTCCCTCTTCCAAAGGCTTTAAATCTGCAGTAAGGGTACTATATAAATAGAAGTGGATTTGAAGACAATTGTGGGAGACCAAAGGGGGAGACAAGGGACTTTAGCCAGTAGGAACACCTAGAGCATTTGCATGTGGTTTACAGCTTCCCCTCATACTGTCAAACATGAAATCACTGAGAAACACCTAAATTCTTAAGATAATCATGAAATATTGAATTAATTATACACATACACAAAGGATATACTTATTTAATGAAGATGCCTACAAACATACTATATTCCTGATAATTTGAATGGTTGAATGGTTTCTGTATATCATGTACCCAGTTATGGCTTTAAGTTTGTTAGGTGTACTCCTTATAACCCCTGAGTTAGTGTTATCTGTAATTCCCAAACTCAAGATTGTAGAAATCCAAACAGCTTTACCTTATTTACTATAACTGATCAAGTATATTGTTGAATAATA